TGTGGCTTACTCGAAAACCCGAAGGCTAGGGTTGCAGTTAGGGCTATAAATGAGACGAGACATATCACAAGTTATTCAAATTTAATTCGGTCAAAATTCAATTAACACTCTAATCGAATTGTCTCAACTCAAGCTTGAACTCAACTCGAGCTCGAACTTGACTCGAGTTATTGATGAGCCAAAGCGAATTACTTGATACCCGACTCGAAAAGCTCGCAAGCAACTTGAAAAAATAATATATTAAAATGTTAATTTTTAAATTAAATTATTAATAATATTAACATTAATATGTTATTTTTTTAAAATAAAATATAAGATTTTCATGTACTTAAGGTTCATTATTGAACTTGAGTTCGACCTTGAACCGAGTTAGAGCTACAATCAAACTAAGTCTGAGAATATTTCGAGTTCAAGTTTTTTCGAACTTGAGTCAAGCTTGAAAATTTTAAGTTCACGAGCTTTCTATTTGAGTTGAGCTTATGTTATAATTATTGAACGATAAATGACAAACGAATACAATCGAATAGAAAAAATAAAAGACACCAATATTTAAGTAGAAAACCCAAAATGAAAAAATCACGGATAGAGGAAAAGAAACTTTCATTAGATCGAAAAATAAAAGATATGTTACAAGTGTTACCACACAAACTCTAATCTCTACTTTCTTTATAGGGTTTCATACCACTGTTTTGATTGTAACTTCATGGGCTGATCCAGAAAGAAATTGGTCATAACTCCAATAGTTTCAATTTTTGATTTCGAGTTCGTGTCAAACTTCAATTTTTAATTTTTAGTTTGATTCGAACTTGACAATTTTAGACTCACGAGCTTTCGAGTCGAGTTGAGTCAAGCTCTGCTTTAAACTTTTGAATCGAGTCGAACTCAATAATACTTGAACTTGACTTGGCTCGTTTACAACCCTAGTTGCAACCATGGGGTCCTAATACAAACAACTAATGTGTTATATGATTTCCCTTTCTCAATAACCAACATCCTCTCTAGGGATGATAGACGAGTACAATTTTGTGGATTATGCATCGCACCCGTTCTAATTGGGACGGAGATAGGTATAAATTTAATGGGTACTGAAAGGGTGTATATGTAAAAAGTCATACACGTCATGGGTAGTGGGTAGGTGATGGGTTTAGGACATTACCGCCCCATCTGTCTGCTTACTAACTACTCACCATATAAATTTTGGACCATTATGAATTTAGGTATAATTTCAAATATTTGTAAATCTTAAGATTTTATAGACATCACTTGTAATTTAAGCAAAATTAGGGAATAAACATTTTGTAATCTGTAAGGTTATTGCTAGGCGGGTATGGAGGGACGGGATGAATGGTGGGTATCTTGTTGGGTAGTAAGTGTGGAAGTGGATTTGAGATATATTCGCGTGGGCGAGTATGGATTCAAAAGTTTTACATGTTATGGGTGGTAAATAGGTGATGAATACGAAAATATTAAGTGATATGAGGATGTTGGAAGGGGTATATATCTGCCCCACCCGTTTGCCATCCTAATAGTCTCAAAAGGGTTAGTCAACATTGGAGTTAGCCACCCATTGACACTCACCAGACCTTGGTAGTGACAATACAAAAAAAATTATTAGTGGTCAATATAAATATAATAAAAATTATTAATATAATTCATATATATTTTTAAAAATGTAACAAAATATATAATAACAACTATAAATATTTAAACGAATATAAAAATATTAATTAGACCACTATAATTTTGGTAAACTTCATATTGAATATCTAAATTATTAGTTTTTGTTCCGTTTTGGTACAAATTTTTTTTTTCAAAATTATACCTAACTTTAGTTAAGTTTCATTTTGGTATCCGCCATTAAAAATAACAGGTGTTGACGTGTCACCCTGAGGCAAGGCCAAGTCATCATTGAAAAATATAAAAATATCACGTCAGTAGTTCTGTTAATTATTTAAAGGTGGACCAAATTAAAACTTAACTAAATGTTAGGTATAATTTGAAAGAAAAAAGTTAGGTACCAATATAAAACAAAAGAATAGTTTAAGTACTAATGTATAGTTTAGCCTAAATTTTTAACATAATTTATATAAATATTCATTTAAAATTATATTTATTTTTTTATTTTTTGGGTTATGGGATGATCCATGGCCTAGGTAGGGCCGCAGGTGATTGCGGGCCTGTTAATGGTGTTCGCATCCGGACTCGTGGCCTTGCGGCAGGAGGCAACCATGATCTAGAAGCCAGGTTACTTAACACAGATTATTGACCTTCTTTACAAAATATGTCAATTTAGTCCATGTACCATTATACAATTTAATTCTAGTCCATATATTTTTTATATTTTATTTGAAATCTTGATTACTTTTTAAATTCTTTTATTCAATCTATCGTCAATCGTTAACCATCTAGCTAAAAAAGATATCTTTTTAGTTTTTAGTCCATGTTTACATTTTCTATCAATTTGATTATTGAAAAGTTGTAAATGTACATGATTGAAAAAATTGTATTATTCAATCTGTGATCTTTTTATTTATTTTCAAAGATTATGAGTCATATTGATATAAAAATAATATAAGGGAATAACAAAGTTACTTTTACCTTTTTTATAGCTGTCGGAATAATAAGTAAAATTGAAAAAATATTAAGAGAGAGACTAAGAATCCGTTTGGTTTCAGAAAATATATCATTTTCTTAAAAAATAGAAAACGCTAAAGAAAACGTGTTTGAGGGTAAAATTAGAAAATGATTTCTAGAAAATGTAACAAAATAAGTGAAAATTTGAAAACATATAAATTGTGTTTTTGGTGTTTTCTTAGAAATTATTTTCAAATTTTTAAAAAATTATGAGTTTCACGTTTTAATTTACAGAACAAAGAAAGCATTCATGTTTATCTTTGCAATTAATCAAAAGAACATCAATGCTTTGCAAAATCTAGGCTTCAATGACAAAGTCGCCTCTAAAACCTTCAAAGTTTATGTTAGTCTCGTCACTCATAACTCGTACTTTGAGGATTTTTCTACAACATCAATGTTTTATATTTGTTTTGTTAAAATTTATGATATAATTGGAGAATCTTTCTACAATTCTTACTATAAGGTAATGTTCTTCTAAAAAAAATTATATTTTAAGCGTTATAGTCATACTAGACTTAAACAACGATCAAATATATGTAATTGTTCTTTGCATCGGAAGCAATTACTATATTTCAAGGTCACTAGCACTTGATTTTAAAAAAATTGAAATTTTTCTGCCTATTAATTGTTCTTTACATAGAATGAAATTAAATCTTTGTATAACTATTTTTTTAATTTAATTTAATTATACGAGTTAAAGTTCTAATAATATCTTTCGATTTAGTTCACATTTAATTATTTACTTTAGTATAACTTCCAATCCTAATAAAAGTATCTTCCTTTAATTACTTTTAACATTTTCTTTTAATATGTATAACTATTTTTAATTTAATTTATTATACGAGTTAAAGTTCTAATAATATCTTTCGATTTAGTTCACATTTAATTATTTTACTTTAGTATAACTTCCAATCCTAATAAAAGTATCTTCCTTAATTACTTTTAACATTTTCTTTTAATATTTAAATATCAATTATCTCAAAGCTCGTAAATTACAAATTAATTGTTGATATGATAATTTTTATATTTACCAGGTAAATAACAAACTTCATATGAAATTATTATTTTATGTAGTTTTTTTTATTTAATGTTAATGCTTGTAACTTGTATCTTCTATTTGTCATTGGTTTTTGTATTTAGTTATATTCAATTATAGATTGATTTTTATTGATGTATAGTAGTATATCTTTATGTTTGGGCAATGACACAGATAGTGAGATTTAAGTATTGTTTTTTATGAAGAAAAGATTATAAATTTTTATTGATTTCAAAACTTTCATTTATTTAATCATATTATATTATTATTATTATTATTATCATCTAATATTTATATTTTACTTTAATTATTTAATAATTATTTTTTATTTTAGAAAATGGGTACCAACACTTTTCATTATTTTCATTTTTGAAAATAGTTTATTTCTATTAATCAAATATGTTTTTATTTTTTGAAAAACTGAAAATTAAAACAGTTTTCTGAAAATAAAAACATAAAATAAAAATAGAATTTTTTTTAAAACAAACATACCCTAAAATTTTAAATAAAAATACGACTCAGGTTTACAAATAAAAATAATTAAATTTTAAATTTTGAAACTAATTGGGAAATCGGGCATATTTAAATCACATGTCTATTCCTTTGTATTTTTAATTTTATCATTTTTTCTATATTTTTCAAATTTTAAAATTTATTCTAATTTAACAATAACATGAAATCTCTTAAGTCAAATTTGCTAAGAGTCTATATATAGTAAATCGTAAATTTAGTTCATATTCTTTAATTTGACCATTTTAACTTACTACAGTTTAGCTATATTATTTATATATTATTTGAGCAAAAAATATAAAAACTAAAATTAATAATTAGATACATGGATCAAATATATACTTATGTGCATAAAGTAAGGCTAAAGTATATTGTCCTTATTCGAGTGTGTAGAATGCTAATGTGTGCATTGAGTGAGCTTTACTGTGTGTGTGAGTTGTTATGGTTGTTAAGAATAGTGACGTATGAAGTTTGTTATGGATGCTGTTACAATAGTATGAGATTGAGTAAGCTTTAAGTCATGACTACTATAAGCTAGTTGTGTTGTAGCTACAGTGAAGCAATAATAAAAAACCAATGCTGTTCTTTTTTCTTATTCAACTTCTCAACATGGTATCTTTCGCCAAGGTTCTGGGCATTTTTTTCACGCTTCTAGATTTTCTTTCTTTCCATTTCTTCACTCATGGAGTCGAGCATTGCAGCTGAACGAGTTGAATCAGAGAGTCCTAAGGCCAAAGAAGAAGATGAATCGAGGAGATCATTATCTCTGGCGATAACTTCAACTTAGAGAACGACAAGGAACTGATTATCATTTCTGTAGTGTCACCGCAGATCACCATGCCGAGGTTGTTTTCACCATTTCTCCAGCGAAAAATGTCGAGTCAGTCCAAGAGACCAAGAGTATGAAGAACAATAAGAAAAGAACAGAAGAGGTGCAAGTCTCCATCACCAAGAAGCCCTTCGTCTTCAATCTGGATGCCAAGAGATACATCAATGAGTTCAACGAGGTTGAAATTTGTGGCTTAGAAATGACTATTCCTACTATTGTCACCATTGCTGAGATCCTGAAGCGAAATGGATTTGCAAACGGTCGACAACAACAATAATGAGCCTCCATTATAAACTTTAATCGCTCAAGAAGGGTAGTGATACAATACGGTTTACCTTACTCAAATTAAAGAGGTGTGAGATGCTCTTGCCTTCTGTGGAAGTCCGATTCTGTGATTGAGCATGTGATCAGTATTTTGAAGGGGCTGTCGTGTGAATACCAACCATTTGTGGCTGTTATAATTGCCATGAGGGAATCACTTTTCCTGGAAAGCTTATGTATTGTGCTTGCTGATGTCGAAACCCAACTTGCTGGTTTTGATACTCAAGTTGAGACAATTTTGATGAGTGTCATCTTGCTCAAGGAAAAGCGGTTGATCCTAACCACGATTTGTATGGTCATGTTTCCAATCTATTCGACCAAATGTCAATGATGTGATGGTCACATTGTTATAGAATAGATTTTTTTAGAATTTTTTTTAATGTCCATTCATATCAAAAGTTTGCATAGATTCAAGTTAAACGGAAGGAAACATCGCACTTTCGATTCAAGTCGAATGAAAGAAGGCATCACATTTTCAATCCAAGTAGAACGGAAGGAAGTATCGCACTTATGATGCAAGTCGAACAAAAGGAGGCATCACACTTTCGATTCAACTAGAACGGATGTTTTACTAAATCATTGTCCAAATCTTCGTTTGAGCAATTTCGACCCAAAGTGCAGGTTTTATCATTGCTCAAGGAGAAGGAAAAGAGTAGGGAGAATATTGGAGTGTGTAGAATGCTAATGTGTGTATTGAGTGAGCTTTACTGTGTGTGTGAGTTGTTATGGTTGTTAAGAATAGTGACGTATGAAGTTTGTTATGGATGCTGTTACAAGTAGTTATGAGATTGAGTAAGCTTTAAGTCATGACTACTATATAAGCTAGTTGTGATGTAGTTACAGTGAAGCAATAATAAAAAAAGATGATATTCATTTCTTCTTATTCAACTTCTCAACATCCTCTGACTATAGTTGTTTTATTGTGTCATTTGACTATTGAAAGTTACAAAATGGTCTCTCGACTTTAAGGCGTTGCTTTGTTGAGTCCTCCGACTATCCAAAGTTAAAAAATAGTCACTTAACTATTCATATGTTCTAAATTCGTCATCTTCCGTTAAAAAATGAGTGGTCATTTGAGCTTAGACGTTAACTTCTCACTCAAATATGATAAAATGATCTCGTAACTGTTTGAGTTGTATTTTTTAGATTGTCTTTATTTATATGATAGTGTTGTGATTGAAGAGGCTCAAATTGGACAACCAAAAATATTGCCAAGAGGAGGTGTGTAACATCCGTAATACCGGGTTAGTGAGTAAATTGAAAAGTTTTAGAATTTGGTGACTAACATAGAAGAATGATATAATTTAATGATTATTGGAAATATATGTTGAAGGTTATTTAGTAATTATTAAAGGAAATTAAGGTAAAATGGTATTTGACCAAAAGATTTTTATCTTTCTTTTAAGTGATAAAAACGTGGAAAGGTGAGAAGAAAGAAAGTTCTGGAGCTGGGTCATCTCCTTCCTCCTCTCTTCCCGTAAGCTCCATGGCAAAGGTAAGTTTAATTTCAGTTAGTCAATTCTTGAGTTTTAAGCTTATTTTTGATTCTTTGGGTATTAAATAAGCTTAGGAAAGCTAAGATTTAAACAATAAGATAAAGGAATTAAGAAGGAATTTGTAATATGAGTTTTAAGATGAAATTTTGATATGGTATGGTTGTTGAAGTTTTATGGATGAATTTGATTGTCATCAATCTAATTAAGAAGTATGAAGTGTTAGAATTGGAATTAGAACACATTGAAAATTTAGTGTGATTCTTGAATGCCATGAAATGATGGAATTTGGTTTAAAGAAGTGATTATGGAATAGAAATGAGTTAAATATGTGTATGGAAGTTAGGAATATTAAAGGAAGTAAAATATGAAGGTTTAAGCTGAAATGAAGTGAATTTCGAGCTCAAAAATGTGATTTCTGGGCAAGGGGAATCGTACCCATTCAAAGGGAACCGATACCCCCTCAAACGAACCATAATTACAGAATGTCAAGGGGGAACCGATACCCCCACAGAGGGAACCGATTCCCCCTAAAGGAAAAATGTGAATATTGGTTTAATAAGTTCGTTTAAGTTGCTAGTATCCACTACAAGGTGTAGGTATCTAATATTGCCTTAAAATGTACATTTATGTAGATTCTGAGCATAAGGCAATTTTGGAACATTTGGCAAGTAAGATCGATCAAGGGAAAGATAAGAGATTGAATTGACTAGAGGCCAAGGTGAGTGCATACTAGTGATATGTAGTGTTTAATGGAATAAGACTTGCGATGAGTCTATTTCCTAGAGTAATATGCATGAAGTCATGGACATGATTATGTGTGGTTATAATTATGTGATTATCTGTATTACATTGATTGTATGTATGCATGACTAAAGATATGATGCTTTGTATATGTTATATGATTTATGTAAGACTTTATTATGTAATAATGGAAGAACATGGAATAAGTTATATGATAGAGTCAAGAAATGAAATGAACATGAGAGAATAAGATAATCAAGTATAAGTTATATGATATGGTAAGTGATTATAGAAATGTTAGGACTCTAAGAGAATAGTATGAATTTGAGGGCATAAATAAGGATCTATAAGTATATAGGGAAGATTGATAAATTAAAAAACTATGGTTTATGTATTATAGTGAAGAGCTACAAAGTTTTATTAAAGAGTATTGTGGAAGTCATGAGAAATTGAACTAAATAAATAGATGGTTTATGTGAGTGGAAAAGGAAAATGATATAAATAAGTGGAAATTATTTATAAGCATGAGACTAATTGAACTGTAATATAAACTTTATAAAGGAGTACTTGGGTAAATCATATATGATACAATTATAGAGTATTACTATACAAATTATATTAAAATATGATATATGAGAATATGAGTAAGTTTATAGGATATTGATAGACATATAAGAATATTTAAATGTATGATATGAAAAGGGAATACAAAGCAATGGAGCATAAGGTAGATAATATGATATCAGTTTTATATCTATATGATATATGTCATCAGGTAATATGAAAGGACTCTGAAAATTGATATAAGCTATGAGAAAGTGTTCTAGGTGTTTCTATGTGTTATATGAAGCATATATGATCATATGTGAACAAGATATGATATGTATGTTTATATGAATATCTGAGAATGATCTAAGCTATATGATATGATATATGTGATTATATGCACTTTGGGATATGTTATATGACATGGATCTATGTAACTACGTGAGAAAGTATAACTATGTGACATGTAAATGTGACTCATATGAAATGTTCTATAGTAATTGAACTATGTGTTATGTGAAATGATAAGTATAAAGAAAATGCCCATGTTATGTGTCATGAGAGCTAGGGGTATAGTTGCATGCCAAGAGTCGAGGTCTATGTGGTCTTCGGGACATATATATTCTTTGGAACATGTGTGAAGTCTAGTGAGACACATTTGATCCCTAGTATATGTATGATTCTTAAGGAATGATATGTGGTCCTTCGGACATATATGTATTCTTTGGAACATGTGTGAAGTCTGGTGAGACACATACTTGATCCCATATATGTATATGATTCTTAAGGAATGATATGTGGTCCTTATGGACATTATACATGGCACTACGGTGTAATTCTACGCGGCACTACGGTGCAATTCTATGTGGCACTTCGGTGCATTTATATAGCTGTGGTAACAGCATTAGTGATAAAATAGAAATAAATGTTGTCAGTGTTTGATATCTATAGTTTACATATGTTATGTGTACTGTAATTAATCTGATATAATTTTATATGATACGAGGAAATCATGTAATTTGGTATAACATAGAACATACATGCATGGATTGATATGTTATAAAGTGCATTATAAGTTTTATGCCTCACTAAGTCTTCGACTTAGCGTGTGATTGTTTCACACGTAGGGTACAGAAGCAAGAGAGAAGAGAATAAGAGTAAGACAGGTCAGCACATCCCTTACAAGATTTCAGATCAGAAATAGATGAGTTAATGATTTTTGTTATTTTGAATATAGTTGGCATGTACTAATTGATTGAGTTAAATATGCTCTGATCGATTTTGGTTATTGTGGTAAAATTATGTAACTAAACTGCTTTTACTCTAAGGAAAGTTTTAAATTTTCTTTGAATTTTGTCAAGAGTCAAAGTTTGAAAAGTCAATGTGACACCTCGAACTCGTATCCGGGTCGGGTACGGGTTGGGGTGTTACATTTAATGGTATCAGAGCTAAGGTTTAGCTGATTCTCGGCATAAACCGAAGTCCAAAGTGTCATAAAATGTGTACATGCCAACATAGAGTGAAAAATTTCTGATCTGATAGTGTAAGGAGTATGTTGTCTTGCTAATAGAATAAGAATAGTTTAATACAGTAGAAATCCGATCGTGATAATTTTGAAGTAAGTGAAATGTGATATTCCTGACTGTGATAGCTATTCACCTGCCCTGGCCAGGCAGGATGAAGAGCGGACACCTCAGAAAATGCCTAGTAAGATCAAAAGTTGATTTCAGAAAGCTGAAATCATATCTGAATAATGATAGAAAGTTTTCATTGTTTTGAATCGAAACACGATATAGAGTAGTTTTGTTATTATGTGAATAAGATAGAATATGGTGAGCAAGTGTCACCATAAGGATGTTAAAAGATCTAAGGATGTGGTTAGAATTTGTGGAAAGTTTAAGAATAAGTGCATCAGTGACAAGCATATAAGATATATACAGTCAGAGTTGATGAGTTTGAATAAAGGAATAGTACTGTGTATTAATAAGAATGTGGATAGAATAAGGGTTTATATTTTGGATGGAAAGAGTTAGCGTTGGCTAACCAGATTATGTGATGGAAAAGGTATAAAATTTAATATTTTGAGATGTTGTCATGATAAGACAACCAAATATGAAATGGATCTGGATACAATTGTATATTTGGATCATAGTACTATGGTATAGTAAAGGGA